AAAAACCCCCCCCCCCATCCTCTAGCCTCCTGAAACGGTTTTTAGTGAGTCACGGGCTACAGCAGAAAAAGAGGTAGGAAAGATCAGTTCGGCATGGGAGAGCTGTTCTTGCTTTCAGAATTAAACCCATGGAGTGCCGAACGGATTTTTTAGTAGTACTTAATTCATGCTTTGGTGTTTTAGCTTTACTGCACGTTTATTGCTTCTAGTTTAGCAAATGAAAGTGGTAATGTGAAAATAGGTGTGGGGTTCATGTATTGTGCAGAGACTGGGTTGGATCCTGTGGATCTGGCAACACTTTCCCACAGTGCAAGGAGCTCTGCTGGCACACTGATTTCTTCTTGCAGAAGAGTTCTATGGAAAGTTCCTTTTGTTGAGAACAGTGCTACAAATTTGTAGTAAACTGTTAGAATTTATGCATGTGTTAAAGACCAATTTATTGAACTTTACTTGGTAGCATTAATGATTTAATTTCTTGAAGTTGATCTGGTTGGATAACAGAGTCATTTTAAACTTGTTTCTTAAGGTTAGCTTAATTTTCTCTTAGCTTTCAAACTGAAGCAGTAAACAGAGATCTGTATCTTTCTGTCTCTGTTGTTGCTGTAGATTAGACCAAACAAGCCATCTTTGGTCTAGTTTTCAGGAAAACCAAAGTTCTGGTAAAAAAATGTAAGTTAGGAAAGAGTAAAAGTCCCTAAAAATGGACTGTTAGACTAAGAATGAAAACATCTGGGTTGACAGATCTCCTGGAGGTTCCTTCCAACTCTGATTCTATGATCTGTGTGATCTTCTCTGTCTGTGCCCTTGATCGCAGGAGCTATTTTTATTGCCACACACACACCAGGTACAGAACGTAAATCTATGCCTCAGAGGACTGTACGTGTAGCCAAAATAGTTTGCAAATGAAACTTTTTCTGACTATATCAAGTCCTTTTTTTCCTAACTGTGGTCAAAACAGTGTTACATCCTTGTCCCGTTAATCTCCATAATTATAGTTGGTAATCTGAATTCCTGGCACAACAGAGCCTGTTCAGATTGTGTAGTTGCTTCCAAACCTCTTTAGTCCTGTGCGGACGATCAAAATGTGTCGCAGTTCAATTCTTGGAAGGTGGGAGATTGCACGTGCCAACTCCCACTTGAGTCCTTCGCAGGTTTATTAGATCACACTATGGTTCTCTGAAGAAGACTTGACCACATGCCCTTCCTCCACCCCATGTGGAATGTGATGACTCTTCTAATCTGGAATTACTGATCGAGTTCTCGGGTTTGCTTGAAAGTGGGGCGTTCTGAGTGTGTTTTTACCTCCTGCATGTGGTGGGAGGAGAGATGTGCAAGTCTGAAATGCTTCCCATCTCATTCAAATCAGGATGCATTTGGTTCACCTAGTGCAGTCTTGCTTATTCTCAGTAGTGAACGATGGGTTTCAGTGTTACTGTACAGTTAAAGTGTTTTCTGAGGGTTTAACTTTTGCCATTAACCTCTGAGGCAGTCTTCAGCAAAATTGTGCACAGATTGCCCTGGTTTCTAGAGGCTCTGTCTTACGTCGCAGTTTGTCTTCTGCTTCAGTGAAGCTGTTGGAAGAATTAGCATCTTGATTAAATTTGATTTCAGCTTGACAGGTGGACTTTTACAGCCAGGGAAAATATGCTTTGTGAAGCTCCGGTATAGTTTACCTTTGTATAGTGTGTTCATAATTATTCCTATAAAGCACCTGCAGCTTAACCTATAGACAAGTTAGCTAAGAGGCCTACAGTTACCCTTTGACTAAAAGAGCATAAAGCAGATCTAAGCCTTTTGATTGTAAGGAAATTGGTTAAAATTC